GCCGCCGCTGCCTCGCTGGCGCGGCGCCCCGCTGCCTCCGCCGCCGCCTCCGCCGCCGCCAGCCGCGCGGCGGCGCCCTCCGCCGCCGCAGCTGCGCCCGCGGCGCGCCGCTCCCACTCCTCCCGCTCGGACGCCTCGCGCTCCCACGCGGCCCGGGCCTCGGCTGCACGTGCAGAAGCTTCCTCGAGCCGCGCCTCCAGCTCGGCGCACCTCGCCCTCAGCCGCTCGACCTCCTCTCCCCTTCCGCCACCGCCCCCTTCGCCGCCCCCGCTGCCCAGGTTTGCCCCGGCCAGCTGCGCCCGCAGCCGCCGCACCTCAGCCGCCTGTGCATTGGCGCGGCCCTCCAAGTCGAGCTGCGCCACCGCGCGGGCCTCGAGGGCGCCGCGCAGGGCGGCGACGCGCGAGCGGAGCTCCCCTAGGGCCGGCGAGAGCGGCGAGGGTAGCAACTGCTGCTGCTGCTGCTGCTGCTGCTGCTGCTGCTGCTGCTGCTGCTGCTGCTGCTGCTGCTGCTGCTGCTGCTGCGGCGGCGGTGGCGCGGCGCGCAGGCCGGCGTGCTCCAGGGCGGCGTTGAGCTGGCGCAGCGCGTCCGCGTCACCCTGCAGCTGGCGACGCGCCTCGTCGTGCGCGCGCTGCAGGGCGCCGCGCACCTCCGTGCGCGCCTGCAGCCTGCAAAGGCACCGAGAGGGGTGTGTTATTGCGATGGTCAAGAACGCGATTGGCAGCGGCGCTCTGCTCATTGGGGTGTGTGTGCAGCGCAGCGCTGCTCGCAATGAAGGCTGGTGCTGATCGACTGTCCGCTGGACACTAGCTGGCTGGTGACTGAGCGACCATCACCAGGGTTGCAAGGGCAGCGCAGCGCGTGACCTGCCCTAGCCCAGATCTCAAAGGCAGCCCACCGAAACCCCACATCCTCACAGCTGGATGCAGACAAGCGCCCTCACCTGGCCTTGTCGACCTGGCGCCGTGCGTCCCAGGCTTTGAGCAACCACGCTGCAGCAGCTGCGAGGCAGCTGCTGACTAATGAGGTCCAGTTGGCTGCCGCCCACGCTGCCGCGGCCGATAGGGAGGCGGCGTTGAGCACCGGCCAGGGCCGCCCCGCCAGGGCGGGCGCGCCGCAGTAGGGAAGGAAGGGCAGGTGGTGTGCGACTGCCGCCAGAGTGTGTTGCAGCTGCGCTGCCAGCGCTGCGGGCAGATGCGCGCACCACGACAGCGCGGCTGACGCCGCCGCGGGCGCCGCGGCTGCGGGCAGGGCGGCGGCGCCCGGCTGGGCGCTGATGTGGACGGCGGCGAGTGACACCGCCAACGAGACGGCGGCCGCCGCGACCACGGCCCCGGGACTGATGCGCTGGGGAGGCGGCTCGGCCTGTTGTTCATCAGAAGAGATCTGATCCCTCCAGGAATCCAAGAACGGTCCGTCGGCGCCGCTGTGCGCGCGCTTTACCAGGTTGGCGCGCCGCCCGCTGTTCCGCGGCACTAAGCGCCGCGCATGGGTGGGCCTTGCCAGCAATGGCATGCTGGGCCGGAGTGGCGGCCGTGAGCGACATACCACAGAGAATGGTGATACGCCTACGCGCTGCATTGTCTGACCAGGCACCAGTGCGGGACTTGATCTCGTGCGAAACGCCGGCCGTCAACTTAGTCGTGTCCTTCGGTAGAAGCCGAGCAACGACATTACAAAGTGCCCCAACTATATGAATGCAGGATCGCTGCTGTTGCTAGGGTAACAACTCATGGGAGCGGCGCGACAATGACCGCGAGTGACGTGGATGGGATTGCCTCGTTTGCTCGGCTCACTCCACGTCCCGGTTTGTACGGCTGAGGAAGGTTGGCAGGGATGAATCTTTAGGCGCAACCCCACTCTCGGTCTCACATACCTGCGCCCTGCTTGCTGACCCGCAAGTCGCGCCTTGTTCTGCCTTTGCAAAATTCCAGGGGATGAGCGATGACCACGAGTTCCATGAAACATCTCAACTCCCATTGGCTCTTGTCGGCCAGGCATGGAATGTGTACAGTTACCAGCCAACTGCAGCGCGACAAATCCATGTGCAGAAGCCAGAGCGCCACAAACGGGCCAACTGCGCCCGTGCGGCCGCTCAAGGTGCAGCATGCTTGGCGCCACAGTCAAACATATGCGGGGCGCCGGTCGCGGGGATGCCATGCGATGAGATGACCTGGGCGGTGCTGTGCTGGATGAAGCATCATGAAGCAAGCCATGTGTGCGGCGCAAAAGCGTCCCAGCGTCGGCGACAGTCCCATGCACGGCGGGCATCCAGGGCGCGCAGCACACAAGGGCCATGTTTCACGCCGCAGCTGAGGCTGCACCCCTCACTCAAAACAGTGTTGAGGAACGTCTCGTGTGCTCTCTGTTATACATGCAACAACGACAGTTGTCACGGAATGGCGCTGGTTTGCAGGCCCATGGGGCACTTGAGATGGGCAGCTGCAAGTCGACAGCCAGAGCGCCGCAGCTGCTACCTGGCACAATGCAAGCGCGCATCGACGCCGGCCGCTGCTGGCGACAATGCACACCCCGTGCTTCAAGCGGCAGTCGCGGGCAGCACAGGGCCCAGGAGGCGCGCAGGCTGCTGCGCCCCGAGCCCCTGCCGCGCCCTCCTGCGGCGTCGACCAGACAGCTGCACCAGCAGTCACTGCTGCCGCGTGCCTAGACAAGCTGGACCTGCGGTCGTGGTGCGGCGCCGCGACGCGCACATCAGAGGTTGCACGAGGTGCAGCCATCACCCCTTTTCACATGCCGATCAATGCCAGCAGACGCTCGGCCGCCAATGCCACTGCCACAGCCCCGGTCCCTGCGGCACCCTGCGCCGCGTGCCACCGGGCCGCGCTGCGGGCCCGCACCCACACCGCCTCACCGCTGCAATCCCGGGGATCTTCTCCCGCAGCTTCTGCGTCACCGCCACGCGCACGGTCATCACGTTGGCCGCGGGCCCCGTGATTTTGACCTTGACGATGGGGCCGTCGATGCCCTGCAGCTCCAGGCCGCCGCCGCCGGTGCCCACCAGGTACGGCCGGATCTCACCCAGCACCTTTGAAGGGCGGGGGGGCAGCAGGTGACGCAGGGCGCCCGTAAACATGCGGCCTGGTGTCTGTGCCGCCGGGACGGAGCGGCCAGACCGGCATCGGTGACTCTTGCTGCGCCGAAACTTCGCAACGCTGGGTGCTATTCGAGGACTTGAGCAACCCACAGAGCCCCGCGAAACGCTGAGAGGTTTGCAGCTGAGCTGCTCTCCACACTCCATGATGCATTCCCTGCAATCACTCGTACAGCGCGCACACACATGCGCGCGCGCGTGAGCGCATGGCGCGCCCAAGACCCCAGCCAGACTGCGCCTTGCACCTCCTCCCACAACCGCCCTCACAGACGCTCGGTCGCCCTCAACCCGCGCAGCCAGGCAGGGCCCGTCGCGCACCGTGTCGACATTCTCCGAGGTGAGCTCCAGGCCCTGCGACTCCTCAGTGACCTGCTCCACATCAAGGATCTCCTGCGGCGGGCACAACGTCCGAGCCATCGTCAGCCTACAGCGTCCCGCTGACCGAGGGGCGGAACACTCCGACGCCGATGCCGGAGACGCGCCGCCTTGCGCGGCTGGCGAGGCTGCTGCTGCGACGGCCGGTTGGGCAGGCACCCAGCGCACACGCATGTGTGCTATGCGGCAGGGCCTTTGGCCGCAGTTCTATAAAGAAATGCGCAGGCAGAATCAGGGCCTGGCGATCCCCGCCGCGCGCGTCGGCGCACTCACCGGGATGCGCTCCATGAGCCGCCGCTTGATGCCCATGGTCATGGTGGTGAGCGAGCTGGGGCAGCTGCCGCACGCGCCCTTGAGCTTGAGCTTAACCACCAGGCCGTCAATCTCCACAAACTCCACGTTGCCGCCATCAGCCATCAAGTAGGGGCGCACCTGGTATGAGGAAGATCGACTGCATGTTGCATGCCAGAGGCGGCATGCGCGCGTGCGCAACAGGGGCAGCCTGCTGCACGCCTCGCGCCGCGTTCTACCCCTTTGCATGCATATGAGCCGCGACGCAATGCTGAGGCTGGAGCGGTCGGCGCCGCACCCACCTCATCCAGCACAGTCTCGACATTTGCCTCCGTGAGCTCAATGATGTCTGTGTCGGCCGAGGCCGACGCGACGCGGCAGACGCTGCCTGCAGCACGTGTCCGGCGCAGCAAATCGGTGGCGTCACGGCGTGCCCGCCACCAAAGCCAACGGTGGAGGCTGGAGCCTGCTAGGCGGTGCAATCCGCAACCATCCCTCTCCTCCATGCAACCATTCGGCATCGTATGGGTGTGCGGCAGGGCAATCCCAGTCCGCGCGCCTCACCCCTTTGTTTCCCTCGCCGCTGCTGTACGCCATGGCTGCGTTCCCGGCACGAATATGGTGCCACCAGCTGTGTTCCCATCGCGCGAGCCACAGGATGCGCACTGATATGCTGCCCGCCCGCCGTGAGAGCCCTGCTCGATGCGAGCGCAGAAGCGCCAAGGCGATGCAGAGCGTAAGCCATGGTATCAGATGTTGTTTGCCGGTCGTCTGAAACATTACTCGTCAGCCCGCTCGTGCCAACATGTATGGCGCATGCGGCGGGTTTGCACGCAGCTGCCCGGGTCGCCGCTCGCTTTGAAACATGCACGTGCACCCCAGGCTTGCGTAGCTGATCCCAATATGGATAAATTCCTTGTTGCAGTGGGTATATGGCACGCTAACAGATGCGTGTGCGCCATGCAGTGTGTCAGAGGTGTGCTTGTCGCCTGAGGTTGTGTCGCAAATGGATTGGTTGTTTGCGGTGGTGCGACCGACCGGTACTGTCTGGTGCGACGGCAGGGCGACGCAGCAAACAGGCATAGGGGGGAACCCACTGACGCCATGTTGTGAGAACAGATGTTTCGTTTACATCGCTGTTCCAGCGGCAGAATCAGAATGCACCACACTGTGCTTGCAAGCCTCTGCTACCTGATGCGGCAGACGAATTTTGGAGGCGCACAGCAATGACGGCATGCCTCATTCCGCGTGATGCATCATGGACCTCCCAAGCTGTGCGCCAGAGAGGCATGCGCCTTGCCAAAGTATCAAGGGCTACATGGCAGCGCAGAAGTCTTTGAGTGTGTGGTGTGTGTGAGGGGGGCCCGGGCGGGGTAGATGAGTGGCAGTCTGCGCTATCGGGGCAGCTGGCAAAAATGCATGCATGCCTAATCAATGGTTGGACATCACTAAGAAGGGCAGCCAAGGTGACCTTTGTGCCTCTGGTTCAATGGGCTTAAGCAACAACTGCATGCGTTATAAGCAAGCTTCAAAAATCATGATCAACATGGCACACTCCTGCTGCATAAGGGAGGGTTCACGAGCAAACCCTGGATATAACTCTGTGCTCTAAGGCTGGATGAAACCACCAATCAAATGGGCTGGTGAAAGGAGCGCCACACGCAACTAGTCACAGGGTCACGTCAGCCCTGAGAAGTCATACGAGGAGGCAAAAGGGCTTGCTGCTGCTCGAGAGCCGCGAAGCAACGCCGGTGTCGTTCGGACGCCCACCGATGCCAATGCTGATGCTGCTGCTGCAGGTGAAGCGCCGTCAGGCAAGGGTGCTGCCGCGCTTGCCGCCGCCCAGATTTCGTTCGCGCTGCCGCTGGATCCACCGGCACTAGCCTGGGGGCCGAGTGATCGGTGCGCAGCAGCCCGCTGCGCGTCAGCCGCGCCCGCTTGAGGTCTGTGAGCATCTGAGGCGCTCCCTTCCGCCCGCAGTGGCAGGGAACCTTGCGCGTGTGCCGCGGCCAGCCTTGCACGCTGACGTTGCACGTGCCTGTGAGCGGCCTGGACCGACGGGTCCCGCTCCAACCACGCGGCAAGAAGCGCTGCGCTGCCTCCACTGTCACCGCCGCCGCTGCCGTTATTACCGCCGCCGCCGCCGCGCGGCTCCGCGGAATCAAAGGGGTCAAGCGCCATTGCCGCCGCAGCCGCCACCGCCTCCTCGTCGTCGCTGTCCGCCCCCGCAGACTCCAGCAGCGCGAGCCGTGCCGCGCTGCTGACGCTGTCCCCGCGCTCCAGCAGCTGCACGCTGCTCACCGGTGTCCCCGGCTCCGCGTATCCGAGCGCCGCGCCCGCCGCGCTGCCCGCCGAGCCGCGCTGCTGCAGCAGGGCCGGCAGCGCCGGCATCGGCAGGCCGGCCGCGAGCGCTCCAGCGAGCGCACTGGCTGGCATGCGACCGGGAGACGGCTGCTGCTGCTGCTGCTGCTCCTGCTGCGGCTGCTGCCCCGCGCCCAGGGATGACGAGTGGCTCAGCCGCTGCAGCTTCGGCTCCAGGACCTCCTCCGCAGAGGGCAGTCCGTGCTGCCGCGCCAGAGCGTTGGCCCAGGCGGCCTGCGCCAGGAACTTGCGGTGGTAGCGCACTGGGGAGAGCTGCGACGCGCGCTGCGAGGGCGAGGGCGGGGCGGGGGCGCGG